AAGCCATTGATGAGCGCAATGATGACTCAAGCTATGCAGAATATGGAAACCATGCAGTCATATGAGTCTTTAATGAAATCTGCCAGAGTAACTCATGAAGCCTCAAAAAAAAACAAAAAAAAATAGGCAGGCACTCCTATTAGTAATTACACAATAATAATAAATTGTGGTTTGAAATGGTTTTGCCACTGAAAAAAGAAAAAGATGCAAATGAGACATCGCACGTTCATGCGATAGCTGGCTGAGTGATTGCATATGACTAAAATGCTGTTTGACCAGTCAATTTGTCAACGGAAATTGCATTTAGATATGCAAAATTGAAAATGAGTGACTAATGTACATGAGCGACGTGTTTGAAAATAGTTGCGGAATATATAAAAGGAAGTCACTGATCACATCTGATATTTTATTGTAGTAGTTGACCGTAAGTTAGATTAGGTTGCGCAACAATATATATCTAATTCTTTAACGGCCGGATTGAATTATTGATCCCATAGCTAGTACCAGTCCAGTTTCGCCTGTCTTAGGAAGAAAAGTGGAAAGCAATTTAATGCCGTAAAATGAAATGGTCTGGCTACCAGGAAGCTAAAGGAAGTCGCATAGACTTCGGCAAGAATTTCTGCGTTATCAGAAAGGAACAGTCATAGGAAAATCACTTAAAAAAATCGCAGGTTAAGAATCCGGCATTCCGCAAGGAAGTTTTATTTTGGAATGTGTATTCCAGGTAGTAAAGTCGAAAGTAGTTCGGAAAAGGCAGCAATTTACTGAGTCACTTCAAAACCTCTCTCTGCTGTGTTCCTATATATAGCCGTATCGAACGGAACGAAATAGCCGATAGGATGGCTAGGCACGGCTCGGATTTGCAATTTAGATAAGCAGATAACTCCCTACTACCACCGATTTCTTTCCAATAAAGAGAGTTGAAGAATACACGATATCCGTAACTAATGACCAATAGAGAGCTGTAAGCTCTCAAAATCCTATTGGCCAACGGTGAATAAGAGCCGTACTGAGGAATTATTTACGCTAAGCAAAACATCGGTAAGGGCTCTTACGGAAGTCATCGCAGGGCACTGTACTATAGTACCACCGCTCCATCGATGACGAATATCAACAGTCTCCCTCTGAAGAAGTTGTCGAGATGAGGAAGAAGAGGAATCGACCCACCACTTCATATGCCAATTCCCAGCTCTACTGCTTGGCATCTCGTTTATTTAATACTTGTAATTAGGGAGAAATAGCGGAGGTGAATATATCGGAACTCCACAGATTCATCGGGAACAGTAATTAAATTATTTAGCAGACGCTGCGCTTCCTCCTCCTCATGGCACTTATAGAGGACATTCACAAAGGGCATTCACAAAGGGCAAGTCTACATCCGAGTGGAGGTACGTATCATTCGTACGCGCTAACCAAATTTTCCAGTACGTACTCCGAAACAGTGCACCTCCTTGACGTTTGAGTAGTTTATAAATAGAAGCTTAAATAATAGACTGTGCCTTACAATTAGCTACGTGTTTCGCTCGCAAATC